ACTCTCTTCAACATCCTCAAGGTGAGAAGAAATACTGTGCTAAGATTAAGTGTGCTCTAGCATGACCTGAGCCAGTTGAGCTGAATATACATATAATTATTAAAAACTAAATCATTGAATGTGGCAATTCTAGAGCTCTGATTGGCTTAGCCATCATGATAATTATATGAGCCATTATACCATGCTGTCCAAATATGCACTTATGTCCAGAAATGCATGCAATGGCGAAAATGGCGAAACTGGCGAAAAATCGCCAGCCGCTGGCGATTTGAATTGGATGCCAAAAGTGGCCCCTTGGAGGCTGGCGATTTTGGCAAAAATGGCGATTTTGGCGATTTTGGCAAAAATTGCCATGCATGCAATGGCGAAAATGGCGAAAAATCACCAGCCTCTGGCAATTTGAATTGGATGCCAAAAGTGGCCCCTTGGAGGCTGGCGATTTTGGCGAAAATGGCGATTTTGGCGAAATTGGCAATTTTGGCAAAAATCGCCATGCATGCAATGGTGAAAATGGTGAAACTGGCGAAAAATCACCAGCCTCTGGCGATTTGAATTGGATGCCAAAAGTGGCCCCTTGGAGGCTGGCGATTTTGGCGAAAATGGCGATTTTGGCAATTTTGGCAAAAATCGCCATGCATGCAATGGCGAAAATGGCGAAACTGGCGAAAAAGCACCAGCCTCTGGCGATTTGAATTGGATGCCAAAAGTGGCCCCTTGGAGGCTGGCGATTTTGGCGAAAATGGCGATTTTGGCGAAATTGACAATTTTGGCAAAAATCGCCAGAGGGCTGGCGATATGTGGCAAAATATTCAAATTGGATGCCAAAAGTGGCCCCTTCAAAGTAGATAACTAAAGAGGTCCTTATAACTGTGAGGAAACAGTACTAAAAAAAAGTTCAAATTACTTGCCTAATAAGAGGCCCCAATAACTGTGAGGCAACATTTATCAAATACAACTGAATCAAATATATGACAAAACAGCTTTACCTAACTGTCAAACAACATTATTTTATCAAATACAACTGAATCAAATATATCTGAAAACAACAAATGCAAGTCGTTTCAGTTAAGCTAATATGTATTTGTGCCATGTACTTCACAGGTTAAGTACACATTTCCTTACTTTCGATGTCGCTTGACTTACCAAAAGTGATGTGATGCGCTGAAATATCACACTAGCATCATTTGCTTTTGTATGGTTCATTCCTTTCAAAGACTTACAAGTCCACTAATTACTCGAGGAGAGAACTACCAAGTCCTTGAAATCATAATAATTCCTTGCCATGGACACTCTAACTTTTGAGGTTCGATGTAGACCTTAACAATCCTCACTGGTTACAATTCTCTTCACATTGGTTCCATTAAATTGTGAGGCAGCCTTAAATCAAAAGCGATTGCAAAACGCATGGTTCCTGGCTAAAAGATGCTTTCACGATAACCAGCTAGTGTGTGCCCTTCATTCTTTTTTGGTTCTCCACTATACACATTATCTTCTTCCGTCGTTTTAAACTCTTCACTTTCTTCTCGCACTTACTTGCTTTGCTCTTTAGAGAAACGGTCCCCTAAAAGTAACAAAAGCCGAAATGTCCAGCAGCTTGCGTGCGCCATTTTGAAATGTGTGATTTCGGTTATTTCCACTTTATGTAAACCTGCACGAAATGTCACTTGTGCCCAATACTTCAGCGCATTTATTGAACATAAACATTAGATCAAAGCAATAACTTGTTTGTCTCTTTCATGAAACATATCCCATTCAAACTAATTCTGTATCTTTTCATCAACTAGATATATAAAAAGAGAGTGTACATGTTTGTCTCGTTCTTCAAAAATGTGTCCCATTATTGCTTTATGAGGTGGGGCCAGAAATTTAGAAAATGTATTGTTTTTTTGCGCTGAGACCACCAAACCAATTCTCAGTACAATATGTTTCCATTAAATTGCTAATGCTAATGCTCGTCGAAACTCGTCACCCGGCCTTTTTACCTTCTATTTTAACAATTGCCTGAGAGTCTCTGTGAACGACATTAATCGTTTTGCTTACATAGAGGAGCTATAAACATAGAGTGACCACCAAAGTCGGCTGGGAATGACACTAATCGTTTCTACTTACATAGAGTAGTTATCCAAAATCGACTATTTCAACATGGTCGCCGCGTCTGTATAACAACTACTAAACCTTATACGTTCATGTTCTGTGAAACTGCAATGAACCAGCTCGTTTATATATACTTGTACGATTGAACGCCATTATAACAAACAGGATGGATATACAAGGCAATACGGACCATCTAATTATCTGAATGCGTAGCCAAGAACCAACCTGGATTCCTCATAACATATAATGTTGAACTGTCGCTATTCAAACAATGCCTACAAGCCTGGAAAATTAAGGATACCTATCTTGGATTTTTTGGTAAGAAAGTTGCCATGAACATTACGAAGATTACCATTTACTGATAATTGAATACAACTCGTTGGCCATTCGATTTGAATTGAGCAAGAAATTAGTTATAAGTGGTAATTTCCGACCGAACACTCTTGTGTGGGACGAATTTCAAATCACAAGAGGTTATCAATTAAAGGTAAAAGCATTAAAAACAGATTAATGACACTTAGTGTCATTATTAGTATACAATTATACTATTGGAAACATTTTTATATTAATATGTGGTTAACTATTTGGCAATTAATAGCCATTTCAAAAGGGACCCTTTGCTATGTCATTTCAATTTGTCTTAACAAATTAGGTATTTCATCGAGTAATTGCCATTTCTGCCAAAACACGTTTTAAGAACGAGGCCAACATGCACTCTATATATTTTTTTTATTTGTGGTTGATGAAAAGATACAGAATTAGTGCACGCCATTTTCGCCAAAATCCTCACTTTCCAAAGGGCCTCTTTGCCATCTCATTTGAATTTTTGTTTACAGGTTGGCGATTTTGGCGATTAAGCGCTATTTCTGCCATTTTCGCCAAATACGCCATTTTCGCCGAAATCGCCACTTTCCAAAGGGCCCCTTTGCCATCTCATTTGAATTTTTGTTTATAGTTTGGCGATTTGGTGATTAATTGCCATTTCTGCCATTTTCGCCAAATACGCCATTTTCGCCGAAATCGCCACTTTGCAAAGGACCCCTTTGCCATCTCATTTGAATTTCTGTTTACAGTTTGGTGATTTTGGCGATTAATTGCCATTTCTGCCATTTTCGCCAAATACGCCATTTTCGCCGAAATCGCCACTTTCCAAAGGACCCCTTTGCCATCTCATTTGAATTTCTGTTTACAGTTTGGCGATTTTGGCGATTAAGCGCTATTTCTGCCATTTTCGCCAAATACGCCATTTTCGCCGAAATCGCCACTTTGCAAAGGGCCCCTTTGCCATCTCATTTGAATTTTTGTTTATAGTTTGGCGATTTTGGCGATTAATTGCCATTTCTGCCATTTTCGCCAAATACGCCATTTTCGCCGAAATCGCCGCTTTGCAAAGGACCCCTTTGCCATCTCATTTGAATTTCTGTTTACAGTTTGGCGATTTTGGCGATTAAGCGCCATTTCTGCCATTTTCGCCAAATACGCCATTTTCGCCGAAATCGCCATTTTCCAAAGGACCCCTTTGCCATCTCATTTGAATTTCTGTTTACAGTTTGGCGATTTTGGCGATTAAGCGCCATTTCTGCCATTTTCGCCAAATACGCCATTTTCGCCGAAATCGCCACTTTGCAAAGGGCCCCTTTGCCATCTCATTTGAATTTTTGTTTATAGTTTGGCGATTTTGGCGATTAATTGCCATTTCTGCCATTTTCGCCAAATACGCCATTTTCGCCGAGATCGCCACTTTGCAAAGGGCCCCTTTGCCATCTCATTTGAATTTTTGTTTATAGTTTGGCGATTTTGGCGATTAATTGCCATTTCTGCCATTTTCGCCAATGCGTGCATTTCTGGACATATCTCCAAATATGGTAACTGTACGTGCCTGCTCAAAATTAAAAACACGCTGAAAATCTTTTGCTTTTATAAATAAAGTTGGGAAGAATTTTCGTTACTTTGTGGACGTTTTATATAAAACAACATTTCCACTCGCCCTTGTTGGATATCATATGATTATAGCCAAAGGGGCGCTACGCGCCTCGTTGGCTATCCACCATCTCATTTCCAACGCGCACTCGTGGAATAATTGTTAAATCAACAAAAATTGGTACGATACGGTTTAGAACTGCTAAATTAATTAGCTAAATTAAGTTACTAGGCAAATATTACAACTAATTGCACAACCACATTCTTCCCACAGATATGTGCCGCTTCTCAGAAGAAATCGCTGTCTGGCTTAGATAGTACACAGACGGATGGGGTTGAGGGCTTCACCTCTCTGGACGAAGCAACAAATACGCTTTGTACTTTAGAAAGAACGTTATTTAATGAAGGCAAACGCTGACGCAAATGTGAGGGAATCTGAATGGAGAGCTTGAACACTCCTGAACAGATACTACTACGAAGTTTGAATGTCACGGAAGCCGCAAACATGAACCCAATATGGTCTTAAAGATGCCACAACTATCGAAATCAAGTAGGAGAACTGACACAAGTTTCAGGAGGAGCCCGAGGGGGGTGATGACCAATAAAAATGAGAAACTAGAGGGACTTCAACTTCGCCTGTGTTCGCTTACTTGCACGCGCACTACCCCCACCCTCAAGCATCGAATTGCTTTGCTTTGTCGCTTTTTCGCCAATTTTAAATAAGCAATAGAAATCAGTTTTTAAACATGCTATAGAATATTTAAACCGTCGATATTGTCATATTAATTTACTTAGCACTGAAAAATAACTTTAGTTTTCTGTTAAAGCGGTATGTAACGACCAAAAGGAAGAAATAAGATACAAAGGTTGACACCGCTTTTCCCAAAATTGACGAATGGAAAGCCCACATCCTTCGGGCAGCCCACCAGGAAGGTGCGAAAAGTGACATAATTGACAATTTGTTGACAAGTCAGGTCTTACTGATTATGGATTGGGCCATGAAATTTTTGCCAGCCAGTTTCAGAGAAACAGAGCGGGACTGGTTTGGCAAAAAGGAAAAATCATGGCATGTGACAGTTGCCGTGACTAAGAGTGAAGATGAGGAGATAGAGGTAATCACCTAAAAATGGCTACTGTAGAACCATCTGGTTTGATTGAAACTATGTGGTTAAATTCTAATGGAAGAGGGATGTTTTATCAAGTTAGAAATATGCTCCCATAAAAATGTTATTTGGGTAATGAAGGCGTCGCATGATGTAATCCATGTATACCACCAGCAGATGCCTAAATGTATCTGGAGTAGTTCAAGTCATTGCTAAGTCCGTCTTTTACTTTTTTCCCCAAGCCCGAACCTATATCCATTTGTTCGAAGAATGTACTCAAAATTGGTTTGCTTTGGCTTCAATCATAGAGCACACACTAACAACGCTAAACGCGGCAAACACGACTCATTCAAGAGGCATTTTTAAGGAGCGACAATGCAGGATGCTACCATTGTGCTTATCTAATCTTGTCACTTCCTACCATTGGAGAGCGTGCAGGCATTATGATAAAGAGATATGACTTTAGTGATCCACAGGCTGGAAAAGACATTTGCTATAGAAGAACTGCTGCGTTGAAGGCTCACATGCGACGTTACATAAATGAACGTAAAATTTTTTTGTTGTTTGTCAGTTTGGGACAGCACAACAAAGAAAACATTGCTCAACTTCAGAAAGTGCAAACTTTTGCGGCTAGGGTTGCCACCGGGGCAAGAAAATGTGACCACATCACCCTTACATTAAAGCAACTCCAATAGTTGCCGGTTGCTTGCAACTTGAGGTGAAAGACGCTGTAATGAGATTTAAATGCTTGCACGGACTAGCCCCAGCACATCTGATGTTCACTCTCTCAATACTATACACAGAAACAAGTTGGATTTACCGCGATTTCCGAACAGCTACCGGTCAGCGATCATTTGTGTATAGAGTCAATCGGCTATGGAATAATTTTATCTCGGACCCTAACTGATGTGAATAATTTGATTAATTTTAAGGATGTTCTTAAAAGTCGCGCTTGTGAGCATTTTATAGTTTCATAGAACCTAGACCTAGATTCTTTTATACCAGCCAGGATAGTTTTCTAGTTTTTGGATGCATTTTTTGCCCAACTAACCATTTTATTCGAGTGACAAATTAAAAAGTCACGACATCACAAGAGCTAGAGACATGAAAACTGCTATTGATTCCTATGGTGGAGTTAAAGCGTGCCAAGCAGCAGTTGTGAAGATTCAGGAGTCTAACCAAACAATGAAGAAGCACAAAATGACCGGAATTCAGGCTCTCAATAATTTCACCTTCGAGTCAGCAGGTTTGCGAGTATGGAGGGCCTACAATGTGGGCAATGGAAAACTTTTCACACCAACACAGGTGAAGCGATTTGGTTTGCCTCAGGGGCCTACCGGTCCCCAAGTCGTGCAGTCCTTTAGCATACCACGGGAGGATGTTGGTGTTTTTAGGTCTGTGTCAACAAGGGCCGAGTGCTTGCGTCCTCAGCCTTGCACTCCACAATCCGTTGAAGCTTCCCCAGCTGATGAAGCTACACGATCTTTCTTCTCCTGTCCTGAGGAAAGATGTACAAAGACATACCAGTCTTTTACAAATCTGCGGAAACACCTGGATGCGGGTAAACATCTTGTCAAATTAGAGAGAGAATCGACCTTCGACAGTGTAAAGAAGAAATGGGCCGAAAAGTGCAAAGAGGTCTCGGGGAGCTACATACAAAGAGAAACAGCTTCCAAACGCAAACATCTAGGTATGATCCCACTTGCCAGATCTCCAGCGGATGGGCATTAAAAACATCGCGAAAAGCAACACGCTTTACTGAAAAAGTAAAGGCACATCTGAAACAGATAATCATGGAAGGTGAGGAGACTGGAAGGAAGGCAAGTGCATTTGATGTGTGTAGCAAAATGAGAGCTCTTCGTGATGACAGTGGCAGGAAAGTATTTAGCAAAGAGGAGTGGCTGACTACAGAGCAAATAGCCCAATGAACAGATTGTCTGTTCTGTATAGAAGTGGCCGTCTAGCCATAGAACAAGCTGATCAAGATGAAGAGGAAGACTTTGTTGGAGAGGCAGAAGAGATGTGCACAAGGCTTGAAATAAGAAGACAGTTGGAACTTTAGGCCATGAATAATAGTGCTTTAGGTACATGCTTCAATTGGCCATTTTCAAAATTAGGGGGATTGGGTAAGATTTTTTAAGATTTCCCAAGATTTCCTACTGCCTCTTGAAAATGTCTCGATTGAATTTCCGCGTGAGCCCATAATGGGTCCTGTTTTCAGCGGTTTATTGTGCCATTATGCATACATAAACGAAAAATGTATATCACGCAAACTTACTCGGGTGTAATCAGGGTATAAATACAGTATTTACCGTCGCTTCGCCTGTAGTTTGCACGATTTTGTACGAGACGTTGTTTCGCGCATGGTTACATGGAATTACAATTAGCTTTAACTGCTGACTAGAAATAACGTCTCCGGGCTCATGTTCTCAAATTTTGCCATGTTTCAACTTGTTGCTCCGTCAAGTCAATAATTTGTCGTTTCTTCGGCTAAAATGGAATTAAATACATTTGCTAAACTCCGAAATTTACTGGCAAGAACAAAATGAGGTATATGACAGTATATGAGGGAAAAGTATCAGGAAGCATTCATTCGAGGCCGCTGGAGCGTAGCGTTAGTGTATTTTTATACTAATTGTCGAGGTCAAGTTCATGACCATTTAATCGTAATTCAAATTTCATGCTAAGAATAGATACAGATTAGCCAGGATCGTTTATTTGAACACACGGCAGTTTTAAAATGATAAGATCGCGCTCGTTCCTACACGAGGGTTCTTATTAATAGAATCTGGATGCTATTAAGCTTAATATTACCATCATTTTGGTGGATACAGCAATGAATATTGCTTTCATGTATGACCCACATGTAAGAAATAATAAAAAAGATACTACTTAGTTCACTGTTTGGGAAATTGTGTGAATAAACCTATCATATAATATTTTGTTTTCTTAGATTTGTTCCCTCTGTCTTAGAGGAAACCAGTTCCTGTCACGGGGCTCGGACCGCTTTTAAAACCAAAACTTGACAGATACCAAAAATTTTATTGGCCATTTTATACGTCTAAGGATAGGTTCAAGTCTCTGTAAAAACATATTTGAAAAAGGACGTTGGATGTTTCGGATATTTGGACCTAAATTTGAGCTATTTTCTCTAATTTCATAATCTTTTGTGACATGGGTGGGCACTGACGTCCCTTGATTGGCACCTGTCACTCCAAAAAACAAGAAACCTATAGGGTGAACATACTCAAGACTTGACATACTAGAGGGCTCCGGAAGAATGCTTGATGCCCAGAGAATTTTGGGATTTCGGATTTTCGGTCCCTTTAAACGGCTAAAAAATCCATCTAAAACTCTTTTCCTCTTCATTCAAATGCAATATTTCAATTACTACATCCTATCATTAAAGCTTTTGAAAACCGAAAACTGATGCTCATTCCTGAATAATGCATTTAGTTTGGAAAGCACGAACGATTTTGTTAACAACAGGTTTTCTTAATGTTAAAAAATTTTGTTCTATAGATATCTTTAACTAGCCTAATCTAGAACTTTGTCCTAACAAACAGGTCCGACACTTACCTGCTGACTCCAACAAAATGTCAGGTTCCCAGGCCCCGTCAGCAATATCTGCAAACAACGCAGAATAACTGGTTATTTCGAAAAAGTCTGAAGTACAACAGTTGTGATCAAAATATTTTCTTATAATAATTACCCCTTCAGAGAAGTCATGAACAAAACACATTGAATTATAGTTCCCCGTCTCCGATTACGGTTGATATGAGGCGCCAAATGTATTTTTATTGTTTAGAGTGGTTATTTGTATATAACCAAAACAAGGGTGGTTATTTACAAATAACCACATTGCAGATTGTTATTTCTAAATAACCAAAATATAAAGCGTGAGTTGGTTATTTACAAATAACAAAAACTGAAATTTGTTTATTGTTCTATAGATGTCATTAACTAGCCTAATCTAGAGGTACGTCCTAAAAAACAGGGCCGACACTTACCGTCTGACTCCAAAAAAGTATCAGGTTGCCCGGTCTCGTCAGGAAGATCTGCAAACAACGCAGAATAACTGGTTATTTCGAAAAAGTTTGAAGTACAACAGTTGTGATCAAAATATTTTCTTATAATAATTACCCCTTCAGAGAAGTCATGAACAAAACACATTGAAATATAGTTCCCCCCACCCCTCCCCCCCCCCCCCCCCTGATCAAGGCTGATATGGGGCGCCAAATGTATTTTTAGTATTTAGAGTGGTTATTTGTATATAAACAAAACAAGGGTGGTTATTTACAAATAACCACATTGCAGATTTGTTAATTCTAAATAACAAAACTATAAAGCGTGAGCTGGTTATTTACAAATAACAAAAACTGAAATTTTGTTATTTAGCAAATAACCCAAACTTAAAAATTGTTTTTTTCTAAATAACCAAAATGAAAAATCGGTTATTTATCAAACAAACAAAATGCAAAATTGGTTATTTATTAAATAATCAAGAGGCGAAAATGGTTATTTATTAAATAACCAAATGCGAAATTGATTATTAGATAAATAAACAGAATGGAAAATTGGTCATTATCAATGGACAATTGGTTATTTAGTAAACAACCAAAATGGACAATTATTTATTTATTTGAAATCCAAAACATGTGCAAAAATGGCTATTTAATTCAGAAATTGTTATTTACTTAATTTGGTTTTAACAAGTGGCCCGCACGTGGCTCATTTTCCCTCTCATTTCCCGTAATGACCTGCAGACTTCTATTTCCAACATGGCTTCTTCCAACGATGACACTAGCTATTAATTGTAGGAATGGCTCCGAGCCTTTTAAAAGAACCGTGCTAACCGTGCTGACCGCGTGTCTATCATCATCCATCTTCGTCCATTCTCCATTCCCTTCACTTTCCTACTTTATCTTTCATTTACCTTCTTCCACCCTCATTTTCCTTCATTTATTTTCATTTTCCTTCATACACCTTTCACTTTTCGCTTTCATTAACCTTCATTCGCCTTCATTTATTTTCATTAACTATAATTCTGATTCATTCACCTTCATTTGCCTTCATTCACACTCATTCTACGTCATTAACTTTCATCTAACTTCATAGGCCTTCCGGATTTACCTTTATCCAGTCCCATTAGCCTACTTCCACCTTCATTCACCTTCATCTGCCCCATTAAACTTCATTCAGCTTCATCTACCTTCATCTACCTCCATTAGCCTTCATCCACGGTCATCTATATTCATGAGCCTTCTTTTACCTTCATCCGCCTACATCTACCACCATTTAATAGTCTTCATTTACCTTCATCTACCTCCATCTACCCCCATTAGTCTTCATTAAAATAGTCAGAGACTATCCAACGAATTATCCTGCCCTCTCTTTATCCATTTTTGACTAATTCGCTCCCTTGGCCTCTCAGGAATCTTCAGACATTATACATATCCAAAAATAATTTTCCGTTTTCGTGAAACGCATCGTATTTTACATTGTTTTGTTACATAAAGGCGGCTGAAGAAGGCTAATGGAGGTAGATGAAAGTGGGTCAAGATGCATGAAGGCTAATAGGGATGGATGTAAGTGGATGAAGGTGAACAAAGGCTAATGGAGGTAGATGAAGGTGGATGAAAAGGTAAAGTGAAGGCTAAAGCGAGGTAGATTAAAGTAGACGACGGCGAATCTGTCCTAATGTGTGTAGATGAGTGTGGATGCAGGAGGTAAATGAAGGCTAATGGAGGTAGATAAAGGTGTATAAAAGTAAATCGAGGGCTTATGGAGGGAGATGAAAGTGGGTGAAGGTGAATCAACGTTAATGGAAATGGATTAACGAAGGGGATTCAGGAGGTAAATGAAGGCTTATGGGGGTAGATGAAAGCAAATGTAGGTGAATGAATGTGAACAAAAATCAATGAAAGTAAAAGATGGTGAATGAAGGTAACTGAGGATCAATGTAGGAGGATGAGTGCAAATGCCTATAAGGAAATGAATCAGAATACCGGCTTAGAAAACGTGCACTACAGCGGCATGTATCAGATGTGGATCGGTCAGTAGCTAAATTCAAAGCAGCTCGGAGCCATTTCTGCATATAACCGCGCTATGTTTTTGGAAGAAGCAATGTTAGAAATAGAAGTCTGCAAGTCCTTAAGGGAAATGAGAGGGAAAATGGGCCACGTGGCCACTTGTTAAAACCAAATTAGGTAAATAACCATTTCTGTATTAAATAACCCTTTTTGCACATTTTATGGATTTTAAATAAATAAATAATAATTGTCCATTTTAGTTGTTTACTAAACAACACGCTACGGAAGCGTGCACTTCGGTGTTGTTGTTGTGAAATTAATTGTGAATCCTCAGATACTCTAGCTGATCTCGAGGTATCTCGAACAACTTCCGCCCTCACTTCGGCAACAAACTGCAAGTTTACGAAATTCCTGAGCGTCGCAAAGCCTTTAATACTTCGCGCTCCGCCTAAAATAATTATTGTAGCCGAAGGAACTCGAAGTTATCTCGCGATATCTCGAACTAATTCCGGTTTCACTACGTCAAATACCCGAAGCAAGCCGAAAAGTCACCAATTAACTTATCCTGTGCCTCGTGCAAAACTTGTAGCTATTTTTCAAATCTCAAGCTACCTTGGGTTGCAGTGGCGCAATCGGCTAATCCCTCAACTTAGGATCTCATCTGATCTGATGGGTCACACAGGTGAGCCGGTTCAAACC